GTTGGCAGGGCCGGAAGGTCATGTTTTTTGGCAAAAGTACAAATACGAGCACCTAGTGTACCCCTACAAAAACTTACGTCTACAGTCCCTTCTTCGTAGAGCTTCATCTATGGCGGTCTTAGTAGTTGATCATCTGAATCGACCGCCGCGACTTGTTCAGCTATGTAAGAAAATCCGCACTAAAGAATCGCGTCATTCATAGAGGCGTCATGCAAGTAAGAAGATGTTTAACTGCAGCATTGTTGAATCTTTGCAATAACCTGTGGATTCACTATTTATAATTTGCAATGAGGATGGAGAAATGCGGAAGTCGACCTCTGAATTCACTGAATGAAAAGAAGGATGGTGTAGAAAGGACCATGAATGTGCGGATTCAGTGTTTCTGGCTTATTTCTCCCTTAAACCCTGTTTTTACTTTATTGCTTTCCACTCATATCCGTCTGGGTTCCATCAAGCCAGTAAAGGATGGAAGAAAGCATTACTCGTCCTCGCAGTAAAAGTTTTTATGCAATCATGAGCTCTTTTAAGCAATTAATGGAAAGTACTTCTCCTGTTATTTATATACTTCCTTCAGAAGGTAGAATTCCTTCTTACCTTACTTATTAGGTATCGTCACAGATTCCTCCTTTCATAGCGGATTTGTAGGCCATTGAGTTTCTTGTGTTCTACAGTGACATTTTGAGGGCGAATGAAGACACGGCACAGCAAATGGACGTGCAGCGGTAGCATAGAGAGAAGCTGAGGCCACCGGTTTGGTGGATGTGCCATATTGTCCAGTGAAACACCAAAATGTGTGTTCACAAAGCCAACGATTTGGCGTTAATTGTGATAGCATTTTCACTTCACTCATCTCTGTTGCAGGGATGCACTTGCACCAAAGATAATTTTTTACCGATTCATCATTAAGTTTAAGGGGTAGTTGAGCCATGCCGTTGTCCTCCATGACTGCTTTTCACCACATCACAAATCAAAGGTGAGGAAAATCACAAGATTTGGCATTTACAATTTCGACCCTCATCAGCAACAAAAGCAATATCAAAGGCAAATTTTTAACTTCATTTCTTGTCTTGCTTTTCAAACCGTAAATGACATGACTTACGATGCTAGTCCTTTGAAAGAATTTTTCGGTACCGATTTTAGAAAGCGAAAAGCACAGAATTGGTAGAATTTTGAACAGTAACTGTAAGTACCCATTTGAACAATGGGAGGTCATGAGCCAAATGTTTTACACTCAAAGTCTCATCCACTTTGTAAGTCGTGCCAAATTTTCGTCTGTATACGATGACATTTTACAAAACCCATCCTTCTGATTAACTTTTTTGTGTTATATTCTTTAGGGCACTTCAGTTTCCTTAAAGAGATGTTAGATCCTCTACAGTATTTAAGGAAAAGCCTTCGTCTCTTTCAAGGCACTTTTGAGGGTGTCTGTAAGGATGGCAGAAGTCTTTCAAATAATTGGGCGACCTCAAGCTACGGTGTTTATTATGATGTAATCAACGAACTCCGCATAACACTCCTAACACCATAAAATTGAAGAGTCGTTGTTTGAGGAATGGTTTTGTGCTTTCCATCACTGGCTTTGCATCTCATCTTGTGTTCGTGTTTCAAGGGATTGGAGGTCGACGATTACTGCCTCTCCTAAAGCATTCAAGTGATCTCACCCGTTGCAGTTTGGTGCCACCTTTAATTCCTTTGGAACCAGCATGCAGTATCTAAATTCGAGCGGTCATTGAAATTAAACTACACATTTACTACTGCCCAGCGGCAGATCTTAGGAGTTTCTCGACGGCGCACCATTCCATTGGTATAGTCACTTGACTTTTGCTATCAGGCAACAAGGACTACCTTCCGTCAGCGACGAATAGCTGCTCTACTTCAACGTCAGGAACAATTAAAGGCGGAGCTGACCGATGCAAAACTCCGCCTCCTTGCAGATCCTGGATCTTGGAGCTTCGACTGTAAGTCCTCTGGTTCCCCAAGCCCAGTGATTGACCCACTCAAGTCACTACCTTTAGATATAAATCCAATCTATGGGCCTAGAGCAATCAACTTTCTTGTTGTCGATACATACATTCACACCTGGCCTGGACTGCTAAAAATTAAAGTTTGAAATGAGCGCTCCTACAGTTCTGATCAAATGCGTTCCCCGTTTAAAAGTCGCAATTAACAAGAACCTCATCTTTGCGTTGACTTAGTCTTGACTGAAAGTAACATTAACAATAGGTCTTAAAGGTGTTTAGAATTTTTCCATTCCCTTGTCGAGCTTTCTATTTATGCACATAAAATCCACCTTTCCCCCCTATTCACTGGTACTGGACAGCACTCTGCTTAGGTGAGTTTAGGATGCATCAAAGAGCCCATTGTGCTCTATGGCTTAATGTTTGCTCTTTTATGAAGTGTGGAGGCACACCCGAATGCATTTAATTTTCATCTCGAACCACTTGAAACGAATTCAACATTCTTTACTTCTCTTTAACCAGTGTGCAGAGCAAAAAGAAGGTTTTCGGATATAAAAGTGGAAACGAGGCGGCACGGCTGGGTTCATTCATACTTCTAACTGCACTGAAATTTTGTGAATTTTGTTAAGGCCAAAACAATTTTACCCGTTTGTAAATTTCTTCATAGTGGATCAAAAGAGATAGTTTTATCTGTGTGAACTAACTCATTTTATTTCGCTGGATCCTGTATCAAAAAGGTTTTATTGTTGAGAGCTATGAGAGTTAATAACTTAAAGCATTGACATTTGAATCTTAGCTAGCACAGTTGTTGAGTATCACTGATTTTCGATTCCAGTAAATGTAGCAGAACACATGAACCCCAATGATGAAGGCTACCTCGAAGCTCTAACTGATGAGACGGAGTTACTTCAACAACGCGTGGACGCATGCCGATCCCACGCACAATATTTGGCATTTTTCCAACCCCCTACTGTCCCTCTATCTCCAGCACCACCACCACCACCACCACCACCACCGTCAACTGGATTTCACGAATCTCCGAAGTGACCGCAATCTGTACAAAAGCCTCATGACAGCCCACCCTTCTGACATCAGAGTCATCTCCTGGCACGCTGCGTGCTTGGGCAAATACCGCATACTCATCTGTACAAAGACTGCAAAAGAGTAGAACACATCGACAACGCAGTACAATGCATCCATAAATCCTCTTATTACTTATGTCACCTTTTATCAGCCCAAGTCCATCCTCTTCTCCCTCCCCCTATATCCACTCCGATCCGACAACTAATCAACATTATATATTAAAGAGGGACAAGACGACACTTGCATATTCGAATGTGAACCTCATTTACTTCCCTTCTGTCAGAGAGAGGTCTCAAATTGCTTGTCCATCTCCGAAACTGGTAATGAAAACACCGACAGCTATTTTAAGGTAGCGCGACTATAAGAAGCAGGACAAACTTACTTATCTTTGTTGAAGCGAAGTCGTGAAGTGTCTTGGCACCCCTTCGTGATTTGGCTACATAACAGAGCAGACATTTTTTTGCAGAGGTAAGACCAAACCTGCAAATCATTAGAAGAAATTGCAGTTCATGAAAGGACCACTAAGAGTGCCTTTTACACTGATAAATCAAACTTTGTCCTACACATGTTCTAAAATTAGGTTTCAATATGGAAACACTACATTTACTCAATTTTACTTGGGTGTAAAAAAATTGTTTTAAGGGTTAAAGTTGTTGTTTTAATGCGACCACTTTCACTGGTTAGCAAATTGCTTCATTAACTCTTTGTGCTGCAAAATGCGCTCATTTCTTCGTTGCATATGGGTCAACAGCAGGATGACCTTCCGTCAACTCAGAATTATTGATTCAAACTTAAAGAGCAGTTATATGAATTGCTATTTCTGTGGTCAATTGGAGCCATCTGAAAAGGAGTAGGTCGAGAGCGTGTCAGTATGGATAGGAAAGGGCGAAGAAAACCTCCCATCAGAAGGCTTCGTGCTCCGAGGGTGAGTAAGCGCACTAAGTTCCTCTTTTCACTGTCTACAAAGGAGCATCTGCTACATGGAGACATAAGGGAGGAAACGGTAGAGGAGCGGATTGCTTTCCTACCACCGCTTCCGTCAACATTGGCAATTCAGAGTAGGGCGCTTGATCAAGACATTTTACAGCTTATAAAGGAGGAAGTGGTTCGCTTCGTGGGGTTGAAAAACATTAGTCTGGAATGGGTGCGCGGACTCCTAAAAGAGGTTGCATCCGGCACACGCAAACATAGATTTCATTCGACTACCTCTAGGCCCTGGCTTGCATTTAAAGAATGTGCTGCCACCATGAAAAACCCGTACTTAGTTCCTGGCACTCATAATGAACAAATTTTGCAGGAGAAGGACGAGGAAAAAGATGCTGCGCCCATTGAATCCAACTCTCCTAAACTACTTTCGGAGAGTTCCGAATCACCCCCCATTAAAAAGCCACGGTCGCGTTTTATGGCTACACTATTTAATGAACGATCGTTTGAATCTTCTCACCTGAGCACGCAATTGCGAGAAATTGTGTGTAAAGGCACGACTACTTTGGAAAAATTTATTTACAAGAAACCAATCGAGAAAGTGCGTTATAGAGCCAAGGATTGCGGTCTGGGCGTGGTGTTGCCACTTCAAGTAGTACCAAAAAATAACGCCCGATGGCTCTTTCGAATGGATGTGGAGGACACCCTCGGTATGACTGCCTATGTCTGGAAAAAGTGGATCCATGCTCAACTTTCGAAGCGCGTTGTCATTGCCAAAAGCATCACAGACTCCGAGATTCGCTTTTCCCTTCCCAGTGATCTGCACGCCTTGGAGGGCCTGAGTGTGATTGACTACTTAGAGACAAATTGTGCAATCGCCAAGTCAAGAATGGTCATTTATGAGGCGTTGTACTCACGAATGAAGCAAGCGGTTATTAATGTGCAGGCATTGAAGGAAGCAATTTTAAAGCTTATTCCGACCACTCCGGCGGAAAACTGTTTGAATGAGCTAATCGATCTCTTAGATTTGCCAGAAGATTATGCATTCAAAACGAGTACATTCTGCAAGTGCTTAGGCCTCTCTGAGCGTCTTTTTGCCCCAGTGGATAAGTCAAACAACGAAGACGAGGAAATTTCAATGGATGAAGAAGAACAGTGGAAATTTCAAGCTGGACCCTTGGAACGCTTGGACTTTTGCCAGGTGTCACGACGGCTAACTCCCTTGGAGGTTAATCCTAGGCTCAAACGATTGTTGGAGAAACTTGAGCGTCAAATAAACTGGCAATTAAAGGACTTCCAGATTGTTCCCTTCTCTCGCCGATTCACCGAAAACCCAATTAAGCGACTTTTCAAGCGAGCCAAAAGCTCCATTCACAAATATGAAACAGCAAAAATGCACTCCACTTTCCGATTTGCTCATCATTAAATCCATTTTTTTCTATACATTCCTTACATCTACCACTTTCATTGCTCCTATGCTGGGGCATG